TGCCAATATTATAATGAGGAATTAGTTATGTGCCTATTATTATGATCATTAAAGTGGTTGTTGAATTCAACTACCTGCTTCCAGCTCTCTTTGGTATTATGCCAGTAATGATTGGTTTGTACGCTGTTCTGATTATTCTGGGAACTAAAGAGTGACTGGGTGCTCTCTCTTAGGACGCATGTAGTAGAAAGAATGGATTGAGGTCCCATCAACCTTCCCAAGTTCTGGAAGGTTCCAGGTAATTTCTGCATAAGCAAGATATCATTTATATGAATACATTGTCACTTGAAAAATCAGAGTTACTGGCTCTAAGAACAGTGTATGTGTACACACACATACACACACACACCTCTTAAATTTTAAGTATAATAAATGGTTTGGAGACTAAGTGAAGAGACCCTTCATGTCAAATAACTTTTTAAACTTCAGATGAAAATGTAATGAAGATGGAATCCTAAAATTGTGTGTGTTTGTGTGTATTCAGATTAGTGTTGATTCCTGATGACTGTGTGGACTAGTCAGTACAGTTTTCTTGGCAGGATTTCAGAAGTGGTTTTCCATTGTTTTCTTCCTAAGGTAGAGAGTGTGACAGACCCAATATTACCCAGCAGGCTTCATGCCTAAAACAGGACCAGAATTCTTAGTTTCCTGGTTTTTAATGTATTATCTTAACTACTACGCCAAGATGATTGACTCTTCTGCCTTAATTTTCTTCAAAAATTGAAAAAGTTGGTTATTTTAACTCTTAGTGAAAATTTTAACATATACTGAGACTGGTAGAAGGTCTTTATTAGGGTCCCTGACTTGAATTCTGAAAGATCAGAAAGTAAGCAAACAATTTCTGTTTCAGGTAAAATAAAATGAAAACATAATACCAAGATGTTATCAAGATGATCAGGGAGTCTTGAGTGTTGCAGATAATATAACATTTTTTTCCACATGAAATAACTGTCAAATATCTCAATACATCAAAATTGCCTGAGTACTTCATCAATTTGGGAGTTTTAAATGGGCCTTATATCCTAATAGAAGGCACAGTATAACACAGCATGGTTTCTGGATTCAGTGAGACCTTCTCCACTAGTGGATAATCTTTGGTCATAAAGAATTTGTGGGTAAAGAATTAAAACCTAAAATTAATGCTCCTTGGTCTTTGGGAATGGTTATTTATTTTATTTTGTCAAAAAGGAACAAGTCCCCCCTGAAATGCCTTCCTAGATAGGGCATATTCTATAGTGGTTATTATGAGGTAAAATAACTCATCTCTTGTTGGGAAAGCCTAACTTGTGGCCATTAACTTTTGTAGAGTAGAGTTTCAACTAGAGTAGAAAAATGTATGTATATGAAATGTTGCTTATAATTCTAACTCCCTTAAAGTTTCACACAAGTTCACTATTATTTTACCTATGCATTCAAATACATGGATTCGATTTAGCAACAGGCAAATGTTGATTTTATGTATTTATTAAATTTTTATACTGCCCATCTTCCCTACAAGTGTTAATCTAGAAATACAAGGTGTATTTAATTTTTGGACTAGAAATGGGTCAGTTGGGGATATATAGCTGCACCATCTTATCAGTAGAAGTTGTTAGAAACTTATTTCTAATCTTTCTGAGACTCCATAGAATAAAAGACACAATGCTAATTGTTTCATTTCCTTTATTTTAGGCATACTATAATCCTTTTTAAAAATCACTTGCAATGTTTTTGTTTAAGAAGAATGCTGTTTAGCAGTGCCAGAACGTTTTCAGAAGTGAAATTATTTATAGAACAATTGCTTTTCAAAATGCTTATTACAAATGAGGGTGTTACGTGACATGAGCAACTGTGGCCAAAAGAGGCCTCTCTCAAAAACAATACACAGAAAAATAAAAACTAATTTTTTATTATGTAGTCCATGAGTTTCAAATCCTAAATATTGTTTGCTCCTCTTGGCAGTGGATAGCTATTCTTAATTGGTAGGATAATTTGCCTTATTAATTCTCATACTCATTGAGATTCTGGTTTGACAGCTAGATATGTAACTGCATAACTTAGCATCCTTAGCATCTAAGTTTTTAAAGTTTTTTTTTACAAAATAGTTTTATACCTCCAATAATCTCAAAAACAAAGCTGTAAAAAAATATATGATTTTGAGATGAATTGTTTCTCTCTTTAGACATCTATAAATTATGTTTTTAGAAGCTGCATCTATTACTAGGTGCATTTTAACTGCATTTTTACAAACCTTATAAACTGTGTATTGTATTTCCATTTTCCAGGGCAGAAAGTTAGCAAAGTTGCTTCCCAGATTACCTCTCTCCAAGTTTTGCTGCTGTTAAAATTGTGCAAAATCATTCTCCTTCTCTGTGTTATTAAGTTGACTTGGCAGGTGGCACAGGCCTTTCCTCTCCAGACTCTTGTAATATCATCTGGATTTTGCTTCTAAGAGTTGCCTAGGTGAAATGGATGGAGACTGCTAGCAGCAGCACTTTTTTTTTTTTTGCACCATGTTATGTGACTTGATGAATGGCATAGGATCGAAGCCAACATGGGATTTCCACAAGCAGATATTGTAGAGGAAGGGTAACTGGGTTTTAAACAAGGCCATAAAGTAAAAGCAATAGATGATCAATATAATAATCTACTTAATATGCAGACATTTCTGTATTTTAATTTTGTAGGTAACAAAAGAAATAAAATAATTGATATATTCATATTTTTTGATATATTTTTTTAATCTTTGTTTTTCACTCCTTTTTAATACCCCAGCAAAATCAGTAATCAAAAAAGCAAAATATATTTACAGTTTCTCTGATTTAAAAATAGTTTCTGCCTATTAATCAACTGCAGATTTATGTCAAATAGATAAAACACTGAGCTTTTTAATACTTCTATGACGATGATTTATTTTCTCTCTCTTTTGTTTCCCTTATATGAGAATCTGCTTCACTGCTGTATTTTTTGTTATTGCAAATTATTCATGAACTTTCAGAGCAATATATTTAAAATTCTATTGTAAATTATGTGTAGATTCTGTTACAAAGATACTCTCAAAGGTTTAAATGCAAAGATCATGGAAATACTCATAACAGAATACTCAGTATATAAGATACTAATTTTGCAGTTTGTTTAGCATTTCGTAATTTTAGAAGACTCATGTATTGAAGTGATTCAAAATCCTTTTAGTGCATCAATGAAAAGGATAGTTTTTTCTTTTCATTGATGCATTAAATGTTGGCTCCAATTACTTGGCTTTAAATGGTAATTTAATCAACGAATCAGCAAATTATTGTGAAATGACTAGTTAAAAAGGAACCTTTTTGAAGTTCACACTTGGCTTCTTTTTAAGTATAGAATACAATGTATTGTAAAACTATATTATTTTAATGACATGTATACTTTATCAAATATTTATAAACTGTGTTCTTAGTAATCAGTGGAGCAAAAAACAGGGTGTTTATTTCATTTGTTCATTTGGCATTCCAAATATTTAAAGCTTGGTTATAATGATATAGTCCGAAATCTGAAACAAACATTCTGGAGACAGGTGTACATTTCACGTTGAAATATTACTTCAATTTTCATGCTCATTTCTACTGAAGGGAAGAAAATACAAAAGATAAACCAGCACAGGATATTTCTTGAACAATAAAATATCTGAATGATTTATGAAAGTTGTACATATAAAAAATTCATTCACATTTCAGTTAAGAAACCTAATAATAAACTCACTAATAAAATTATATACAGATAGTCCTCGACCTGCAACCATTTGTTTAGCAACTGTTTCAAATTACAATGGCACTGAAAAAGGTGACTTATGACTGGTTTCCATGCTTACAAGCATTGTAACATTTCCATGGTCAAGTGATCAAAATTTGCGGACTTGACAACTGGTATATACTGTATTTATGACACTTGCTCTATCCCAGGGTCATGTGATCACCATTTGTAACTTTCCCAGCTGGCTTCTGACAAACGAAGTCAATAGGAGAAGCCAGATTCACTTAAAACTGCAATAATTCACTTAACAACTGTAATGTTGGTTTATAACCTCTCCCTATATACATTTTATCCCCCTCCCCAATCAAATCTCAAAGGTTGGGGAAAGCAACACAGCAGGAAAATATGCTGCCTATCTCCCCATTTAGGCTATAATCCCTTTCTCACGTTTCTATCCATAGAATACTCAAAAAAGCCAACTCATATAACTCAGTCTGAACTGGGAGCTATTGAAAAGACTATCCTCCTCTTGCCCTAGCCACTTGAATCTCATCATAACTTCGGGTAAAGTGTAGCTTGTGAGCCCAAGCATTGCATTTTTTGATACAACATATTTTAAGTATTAGATATATGTAAATGTTAAAGCAGTACAGTTTTTCATAACTATATGAACTGGTGTGAAAATGACTAAGTAATGAGTAATAACCCTACACTACTGAACATATATTTGGAAAGAAAATATGAATGGAAGAATAAGAGCAACAAAGATACCACATTTTTCTTATTCCCATAGGTAATATAGGTAAATTTTGATGGATATTGGTATGTTGTTCTGTTTAATATTAAATTCTTCCATGAAAGCTTTTGATAAACCAAGGACCTTACTGGTTGGGAACAAGAATCAATTCTCACAGTTTTCCTGTTGTGTTGCTTTCTGCCAATCGTGAAATATGATTGGGGTGGAGGATAAAATGTATACAGGGAGGGACTATAAACCAAAATTGCTAGCTTCCCTTACATCAATGGGAGCATTTCCTAAATAAAATTGGTCTGGATGTTTCTTGCACAGGGAACAAAACTTTTATCCAAGTAAGCAATTGACTTTTTTAAAATATCATTTTCTACTAAATGAAGAAAACAAGCTTTTTATTTTCTCCCTTTTGTGTACAGATTATTCCAGAATTGTTGGAATGAAAAAGAATAATTTATTGGACATCTCTATCACTAATTAAAGTGTTTTGTTTATTGGTACTGTATGGAAAGTTTTATGTTATTTATCTCTTTACTTGCAGCTTTTGAGAGAACTGAAGCATCCTAATGTGATTGCATTACAGAAGGTTTTCCTTTCTCATAGTGATAGAAAGGTGTGGCTGCTGTTTGATTATGCTGAACATGATTTGTGGGTAAGTTCTGAAGTTCCTTTTTTTTTTTAACTATAATTATGTTATGTTTTAAAAGAAGTAACTGCAGTCAGAATGGATTTGAAACCTATCCCCAATCTCACGTTTCTTAACTATATAGCTACTCAAAGCATGTTAGGAAAGAAGAACCACGATAAAATCCATGTACCTGTATGGAAAAATTTCATTATAAGATATATGATCAGGTAATCTTTGAAGATGCAGAAATATTTTCAAGATTTTTTAAAAAAATAACAAACTGAAAAACTCCCCACTAGTCTTTCCTTAGAAGTCGAGATTGCTTTGCATTTATTTAAGTAATTAAAATCTTGATGAGGTTTAATTGTGCGTTCTGTGTATGATGTGATTTGGAGTTCATATACTGAAAGCCTTACCCTATCTTAAAACCATGATTGGCTACAAAAAAACAAGGAGAAACAGGTAGAGGCATTTTGGAGGAGGCCCTAATGCCATTTTGATATACATAACTATCCAAAAGTTATAGCAGTGTGGCACCAGAACTGTTCTCAATTTCATTTCCCCACGGGATTTAGGAGTGAAAAAAGCTTAAGTATTTTCTGTTCTCCTTGCCAAAGACCAATGTCACTTTTTCTAAAAAAAATATTTTGGAAATTAAATATGTCATTTCTTTCCATAACTCAGTTGTTAAGAGTTGTAAGCCAATTGTATCATTATATCATTGAGCTTGTAGGTTCCCACAGTTATAAAAGAGAGGTAATTAATGAAAGGTAATATTATATATGCTCAGAGACTAGAACACTGTAAGAATCTGTGTGTGTCTAGAACAGGACTAGATAGAGCTACACTTAGGTAATAAATCTGGTTTTCCCTCAAACCTTGAGGGATTTTCTTTTGTCTGATGGGGGAGAAATATACATATAAATACAGTGATATCAGGAATTTACTTTACCTATCAGAACTAAATGAAGCTCACAGTTCTTTCATAAAGAAATATACATTTAGCAAATCCTTCTCTAATTTTCTTCATTTGAATTGGTGTATACATTCAAGACTCCAACCTGTATATCCTTTAGGTCTCTTGTAAAATTTAAACTTTTGGTGCTAGCCTTTCTCAGGCACCAACTTTTCCCAGCCACTGTCTTTTTTTCTGCAATAGATTGTTTGTAGTAGACTTGTAAACTATGTCAGGACTTTTTGGCACAGGAAGTGCTTATTGAGATCTTTTAGATAGCAATTATAAATAATTAATTTTTCTTCTATTTAAAAGATTCCCATGTGATTTGGTTTTCCTGTATTTTTCCTCAAGGGGAGCAAATTTCCAGCTGAGGGAGAAACTGACATTGTCTCTTACTCCAATACGTCTGATCTGCAGTCCAGTTTGAGAAGCCCATTGGCTGCTTTTATGAAGGAACCAAGATATTAGGCAGATTTCCAAATTATCATCCAGTTTGGCCTCAGAAAGCGATTTAGAATTAAAGGTTTTGAAAGCTCTGCACTACATGCTGGCAGCTGCAGTATGGGCTTGAAGATCAATATAAGAAAGAACTCATTCAGATCTCAACTGTAGGCTAGGATTTTATATGTGCAATTAGTGTAATGCTTTTGAAGTATTACATTTAATATGAAATGAAATATATGCCTTTTGCAGCATGTTGTGATAGAAGAGGAAATATTCCTCTTCTCTTTTTGTCAGATCAGTTCAAGCTATACTGAATATTAAATTAACATGAAAGTTAGATTTGCTAGAGACAAATTACTGTATTGCTTAAATGGTATGATGAAAACTCATGAAGCCCATGAGTAATAGTTTACTGTCAAGAAAATTATGTATATAAACTGTTCCAACCAAAGAGAATTGAATATATTGAATCAAAATAATATAAAGTCGTGAGATTTCATGCTATTGCATGTGCCATATAATTTAATTGGAGAGTCTTATTCTTATAGTTTTACTAACTTGCACCCATTCTGGAAGCTTTCTCCATCAAAGTTAATTACACCAAGAGTAGATGTACACTTCATCGCTCAAAAGTGCCAGAGTCACATTATGAAAAGCTTCATTTGATGTGCACAAAACTTTATTTCTGTGTTTCAGTTGTTCGCTTTTAAAAGCAACTGCAGAAGAATGTATTGCTGCTATAATAGGAAGCATGTTTAATATCCAGTTTGCAGTTCTTGCCACCTGAATACTGCATGCTTCGTTTGAAAAAGAATAATCTAACAATAGTTTTGAAGGGGCACTCTTTTTTGTTGATTGTTGTAAAGTCATAATGCAAAGTGTACATTCTTCCTAATATGCTCCCTAGCTTCCAATGTCTCGATACATGCAAATACATCATTATCACAAATTCCTAGGCTATATCATTTCATATAAATGCTACCAATATTTGCATGTGTTTGTACTGTCAATGTTTTTTTATGTTCACTTTCTAGTGTTCTTGAAATGAAGCATGCAAATATATATATATATATATAATTAATTCCCGTCCAATTATTAGATTAATGACCACTTCAGATTTACCTGCATTGTTCAGGGAGCCACTTCCTACATGGTATGTTCCCATGCAATTTTAGTTATTATAGAACATAAACCAGATGAACAGGACATATGCTGTTCCACTCAAATATTTTCCTCCACTTGGCTGCAAAGTAGCCACATGATGGACCTTGCCTATTTGATTCTTGGACTGTTCTATATTAAGTGCTCTCAATCAATAGAGTAAATATAAAATTGGTCATTTCCATAACCCTACACTTTCTCTAGTGCGACTTTTTTTGTTCTTTTGTTTTTGCACAGAAATATTTAATCATCTCTTGAAACCTAGAAGTCAGCAACATTATTACCCTCCAAACAGATTTCTCTCTCTTTCTCTCTCCCCCTCCCTCTCTTTCAATAAAGTGCAGAAAGCAGTCGTACTGGTTTAACATTGAGTAATCATGCACCTCTGTGAGCCAAGATTTTTTTTTTAAATGATAAATTGGGACTAGTGAAGAACTTTAAGTGAAATGAAATATGAAGAAAATATTGTCCTGGAGATAACTGCTGGATTTTGAACCCATGCAATTTTTTTTTGTCTTGCTGTACTGTTTAATGTGATTTTTTGGCATTTGGTGATGATGGCCCAAATTAATATCCCTCATGGTCTGAATGACTCCTTCTCTCAGTTATCCTAAGCATCACTCCATATTTCCCCATTGTCTTTTTTGCTCACTCCCAACTTTGTCTCTTTCCATGCTGCCTCTTACACTTGGAACAGCTTCCCAGTCAACGTATGTAAAGCTCTCCTCCTTCAAAAAACAAAAACAGTGTTGAAATCCACATGCTTAGGAACACATTTCTTTTATTAATACCTTAACATTCTCTGTGTTCTACTAGTTTATATGCTTCATTCTAATTTTTTATAGCATTTAAACTTTATAGGACAGAGAAGATGATAGTCTAAAGTGGTTATTTTTTTATACTTGGTACTGACAGCCAGCATGGTATAGCGGCTGTAGCCAGTAAAGAGTGGGAGGTGGGAAGGGGTGGTAGACCTCAATTTAAATCCTGAACAAGTCATCAGAAATCATTGATTTGCCTTGGAGCAAGCATAATTTCTCATTTCATATTTTTATAGTATACAGATTAAAATGTTAACTAATTTACTGTCAAGGTGAACCTAACCCCAAAATAATTTTCCTATGTGGCCGTTTATATAGGTGGATTGATATTTATCATTCTCCAGAAAACTCTTTCCTGTACGATTATTGAGAACTTAATTAGTTATGTACTGAGAAATCAGTTGGAGCATCTTCGTATCTTTCACATATTAACTCTGCCATCCCCAGTTTCCCTTCCCAATTTGGAACTGAGAAGAGAGTTATAATGTTGCAAAAACTTTGGGCTCATTGCCTACTACCACTTTGTCTCCCAGATTGGGAGCAGGACTATTGACAAAACAGCAAAGGCATATTTGGTGGGTGAAAATATTGAATAAAACATAGCAGTCTTTAACATTTGATAATTGATGTTATACCATTTGTAACATCCATCACTTTTATTATACTGAATTTATTTTAGGGACAAGCATTCTCTTCATTTCTTGATACTGATATCAATAATATTTTAAGAAAAGAAACTTTTCCTACATTTATTATGGTTACATACCAATTTAATTAGAGAAAAAAGCAAGAACAATAAGCATTTTCAGTACTGCCATTTGTTTTTCTGTTGATCTGTCAACAAGACAAACAATACTTGTTTTGGCTTTAATTCATTATTAATCCATGGGGCTCTTTTGTATGTATTGAATTAGCAATTTGCGTAGTAAGCAATAATTGAAATAATTTTACTTTTCAACATATAACTTTTATAGAAGTTATAGATTGGAGTCCTTCAGATTTCTTTTCTATAAAAACTCTATATTGTGATTAACTTGTGCTTCTTCACTTCAGTCCTTAAGAACGTTATTTATATTTGAAATCTCGATGGTGTATGAAAGCCACACTTTTCCCTTGGGTTTATTTAGATCTGGTGCAAATGTAATTCTGACTTTTTGCTAGCCATAATTTGCAAATTAGCCCCAAATTGTCATTATTCTTCTCATTACCTATTCATACTTTCATTTACATTTTCCCATCCCTTTCCTTGACAGTTTTAATAAAGTTTTGCATTACATTTGTCATGAATAGTAACCATCTAGTTGTGGTGTCCTTGATATTCTTTCAGTTTGGTTGTTTGCCTGCAAATGTTTCACTACCTAACTCAAGGGTCTTCAAACTTGGCAAGTTTAAGACTTGTGGACTTCAACTCCCAGAATTCCTGAGCTAACATGACTGGAGGAGGAATTCCAGAAGTTGAAGTCCACAAGTCTTAAAGCTGTCAAGTTTGAAGACCCCTGACCTAACTAGATAGCAACATCAATGCAAGTAGGTGCAGGATTTGATTCTTGTTTATATACATTGCTTGCCCTGCCAGTTTTGGTAGGGTTGTGGTTTTCTCCTTGATAATTCCTTTATTAGGGTATTGTTTCCTGCTTTGCTTGTTTGTTTCCCTGGTGTTAATCCCTGCTTATCTGGGTGATGGCTCCTGGAGAGGATTTTTTTTCCTTCTTCTTCATTTTTTGGTCTCTTGAGTGGTGAATAAATATGATTTACTATTTTTCTATGTGTCTATTGATTCCTGAGTTGTTTGAATACCAAGCTTCCAAGAATTCCCTTGTGTTTCCCAGTTGGAATTATGGTTGACTCTATCCATGTGAGATTATGGGATTTTCATTGTGTCTTTTGATTGCTAGTTGATGTTCATGAATACTCTCTGCTAATCTTCTACCTATGTGACCTACATAATGACTGTTACAGTCTTTACATTCTGTGTTGTAGATTACTTTTTTTCTTGTGTTACTGGGTCTTTTTGTTTACTTAACATGTTTTGGAAAGCTGTGTTTGTTCTATGTCCTATAATTATGTTGTGTAGTTGTAACTGTGTTGGTTATTTCTGAAATTTTTGATATATATGATAAAATTATCTTTTTCATAGTTTGTGTTGGTTGTGCTATAGTGGGTTGAATGGTCAAGCACTTTTTTATAAAGTTGTGTGGAATGTGTTATATTCACCTGGAATGCTCTACCTGACTCCATTGTTACAGCACCAGTGTGCCTACTGTCCCTGTCTTATTGTCCCCATTTATCTGTATTTACTTCCTTTGTTCATGTTTATGTCCATACCTATACTTGTTATCTTGTACATGTTTGACAAACAAAATAATTAAATAAATACATACATAGATATAGATGGTCTGTTTTATTTCTTTGGTGCTCTGGGTTGCTACAGTACATTTGTACTTATATGAGTAATATTTTTATATAGGTTCTCTTGTGGGAGGTTGAGCTGTTACTTTAGTAATGCAACACTTGGTTAGTGGGATTGTTTTTTGACAGTAGCATTTCCAATGTGCTACTATTTTATCTGCTGGTGTGGATATGCAAGATGGGTAGTGTATTGTTTTCTTCTTCCCTTGTGAATTTTATTCCTTTGAATATGTTGATGAGTTCATGTTTTTTCTAATTGTTTCTTTTTTACTGCGAGGAAGCTTCTATACTTTCGATATATCTGGGAGTGCTACAGTGTGTAGACACTGAATTGTGGTTTCTGCTATAAGTGTTGACAGTGGTGATCCCATGGGTGTTCCTCAGATTTGTTGGCATATTTTTTCATCAAACTGAAAGTAGATAGTAAGCAAAGGTTGATGAGGTTCATGATTCTGGTATTTCAATCTTAGTATATTTGGCTGGGTTGGGTATGTTGTGTTATACGTCTGCCATGGATTATTTCACTGATTCTGGATTTATGGATTAAAGCATGCTGGGACATTGAATGAAACCATAATTTCATCTTCTCTTTTAGATCTTTCATTTTCTGAAGGCACTGTAATGGGGGAGTCGATGAAATATTTGCTCTCCTCTATGAGGTGTCGAAGCCCTTTTGTAAGTTCTTTGGCTATGTTTCTTGTTAGAATTCCTGGTAATTTTACAGTTGGACAAAGTGATATGTCGGGCTTGTATATTTTGGGGCATTCTGCAAGCAAACAACCAAGCTCAGAGAGCACCAGAACTATATCATTCAACCTTGAGCTACATATATTTTATTCTAATGGAACCATCTAATCCAACCATCTATTGGAATTTGAAATAGTCTTATCTGATCCTCATACATAGAGGATTAAGTGGCATGGGTTAGCAGCATCTGCTCAGATGTAAAACCAAATTTAATTTAAAAATGACATATTCAAGGGGGATTTTATGGAAATAGAATGAAGAATGGGCATTGTTGGGTTTGTTTCCAGTTTGAAAACATTTTGGAAAAAGCTCCAGATATTTATACATTGAAGTTGACAAGTAAAGGAGAGATATTCTACAGAAGAGTGAAGAGACTGCAACTTAATATCCAATATTTCCTAGCTGAGTTTTTGCACTGGAAAAATTGTTCTATTTTACTATATTATAATGTATGGATCATCTTAAATTCGGATTTTCTCTTAGCACTGATATGCTGCCAACATTTTTTCTAACTATCTAGAAAAAATATGCATTACTGTTTCCATACCCTGGAGAGCCCATTTTTTTCCTGAAAAGGGTGCCTTGTGTTTGAAATGGATTTTGAATGCAAAATCAGTCAAAAGCCTAGAAGCCTTCCCAAACTTTCAGACCACACTGAATAGGAATCCTGGAAATTGTCATCTAACATGTCTAGTGGACACCACCTTGAGAAGACTGAAGCAAAGGAAAATTTAGGGCCCAACAGATTTCTTTGCTCCAGTTTTCATTTTACTTTAGTGACAATTTCCTTTCTTATTCCAACTTACTGATAAATGTTCAAAAAATTTCCTAATATCTATTGCTTTACCATCAAGCAATACCTTTACCTGTAAGGTAAGCAAAGACAATAGGCAGATTTGTCGTATTTCTGAATTTTTTTCTAGATGCAGTCCTTAAAATATTTCAGAGCTTTTTAAATCTTTAGTTGTTGTTTTTAAAAAAAGGTCTTGGGGAGAATTATCCTAAAATGATTTTAGAATTTCATGAAAATGTCAATGAGGAGCAACTCTGTAGAAAAAAAATCCTGTTTCAATTCATGTAACTTTAAAGCTGAGGAAGCAATGTGATGTTTCACTGTTAGTTTTTTAAATATTAGATATAAAAAAGTTCATAATTCCAATTTTAGATTTCAAAATTAAAATACGTTCATCTTTTGCAATTATTTTGTGGGTTCTTTTTTTACATGATGCTTTCATGTTTGTGTTCTTTTTTGTTTCCAGCATATTATCAAGTTTCACCGTGCCTCAAAAGCAAACAAAAAACCCATGCAACTGCCAAGATCTATGGTCAAATCACTACTTTATCAGATTCTTGATGGAATCCATTATCTCCATGCAAACTGGGTGCTTCACAGAGATTTAGTAAGTGCTGTGACTTTAACTGCCTACAAATAGACAGTTATATTTGTATTTTTTTAAAAGTACAGATAAAAATGCAAAATATTAATCTCTTGGATTACTACACTTCTTCCTGAAAATTATACCATATTTACCCAATAGCAAGATGAGCCAGAACGTAAATGTGCTCATTTCAAAGAAATTGCAGAATATATAGAGAAATCCAATGGAGTTCCAAGCTTGTCACCCTAGGTTTGCCAGCTTCATCTGAAACCAATCCTAGAGATTTTTTCCTTTTAGTATCTGTAAGCAGCTGATAGGCAGGCAGGCAGGCAGGCAGTTATTGGCCAGAAGCCACACTCAAAATGGCAGAGCAGAAAAGCAACCATAACAAAAGATACAACAAAACAACAATTTTTAAAAATCTATGTAAAATTAGATTCAATTAATTTTATCAAATTAACTCATTTATCAAATTAACTGATCCACTCTTCTCACATATTAACTATTATGCCCCAAACTTAGCAGAAATAGTAAAAAAAGAAAACAGAATGGAATGAGGTGAAGGAGAAAATAGATATAAATGGGAAATGACAGGAAGGACAAAGCTAGAAATGAGGTGAGAAGCAATAATTAGCAGAAAAGAAAAGTTTTCTTTAGTAATTTCAGAAAAGGGCTTATTTTCAAAGCCACCCATACTTTTCAGCAGTGATGCCTGCAACCATTTCAATCCCCTGCCAGGTTTGTTTTTAACAGCCTGTATATCTGGAGTAAAAGATTGTCTCATCACTAAAAAATGGTAAATAATTTTTAGAAATTTCAAAGGAAAACTTAATTTTAGCAATAGCATTTAGACTTATAGACTGCCTCACAGTGCTTTACAGCCCTCTCTAAGTGATTTATAGAGTCAGCATATTGCCCTCAACAATCTGGCTCTTCATTTTACCGACCTCAAAAGGATGGAAGCCTGAGTCAATCTTGAGCCCGTGAGAATCGAACTACTGGCAATCTATAGTTAGCAGAATTAGCCAGCAAAGCTGCATTCTAACCACTGTACCACCATGGCTCATTAGCAGGAGTATCAAACTTGCATTGTCATGGGAAGTATCGGGACTTTTCCCCCCTTCGCTAAACTGGCGGGGGCAGGGCCACCATGTGATGAATCTGGCCCGCAGGCCACAAGTTTGACACCCCTGACCTATAGTATATTCTACAGGTCAGTTTTAAAACTGTTAAAAACAGCTATAAAGTCTGCTACATTTTACTTTGGAAGATATTAAAATATAGTAGGGTTATTATATTTTTCTACTATTGTAAAAACTGCAGCTACCATTTTGTTGAAATTCTCTCAATTTTTCACATAGTTTATAGGAAATAAACTATTGGTGAGATAAATATGTATCAGCTTAAATAATTCATTAATAATATTGAAAATATTGTCTGAAAAGAAACTTTAAATATACCTGCCTTGATTCTGCATGATGGAACAGAGAACAGAGGGAAATTCGGGTAGCTTTCAAGATTCTGTTATTGTATCCTATAATAATAAAATAGAATATCATTAGTTCTTGTAGAGACTGTTTCTTGACCTGAACTGCATTGAAGGATTCATAGGATTGTAGTGTTTTGGGTATAGAAACAAATACAATTCCATTCAAAACAGAAAAGTCAGTTAAGAGAAAATTTGTTAAATTTAATTATTAAAATTTTAAATTAAAATTGTTAAATTAAAATTACTTAATTTTAATGTTTAAAAAAGATGATACTTTTCTTGAATTTTCTATTATTTAAAGGACTACTTGAATAATTAACATTATTACAAGGATTTCTGTCTTTAAGCTGCCTTCTCAATCCGATGTTAAATGAAATCCAGTTGTATATCCTGAAACAGTTGCCCTGCTGTCTAGGAATATTATAGTACTGGTAGAGCAAATGAATAGGACTGGGAAAATGGGAGTTGCCTTTGAGTTCAATAGGAAGAACCTTAATAATTTTCCTTCTAATTCAGCCTGCTTTTAGTGAACTGAAAGTCTGCAAAAAGAACAAGAGAAAATGTAAGCAATGACTATTACTGCTTTAAGAAGCAGAGAGATTTTAGTTGTGACCTGTAGTGTTTGTGGCAAATTTGTGCTCCAGCTCGAGAATAAGTTGCAAAGACTATAGCAATCCTTGAAAAAAAAAACACAAATTTATTGGAAAGCAAATGTTCTGTAGAATATCAAGACCTTGAGTCTGAGACTTAGACAGACCCCCTCATGATGCATTGAGGTGTAAAAGGAAAGTGAGGTAAAGACCAATCAAGCTTGTAAGATTCTGGTACTATTTCTCAATGAAGTAAAGCTCTATTCTTCCTATGGAGTTGGTTTCCTGACCTGGTCTATCTTGTAGGACTGACATGGCCATCCTTCAGTTCATAAGAGAAGTACAATGTTAAAAAAGAAAATCAATACCCTTTTGACACCCATGGTTTAGAGCCTTTGGGAAAAGAAAAAAGGCTGGGATTAAGAGAGATGATTGTAGAATACTTGTCCCAGCTTCGGCCAACCTAGCAGTTCAAAAGCATGTAAAAATGCAAGTAGAAAAATAGGGACCATTTTGGTGGGAAGGTAATAGCGTTCTATGCGCCTTCAGTGTTTAGTCATGCTGGCCACATGACCACGGAGATATCTTAGGACAGCATTGTCTCTTTGGCTTTGTAATAAGGATGAGCACCGCCCCCTAGAGCCGGAAACGACTAGCACATATTTGCGAGGGGAACCTTTACCTTTAAAGAATACAGGGGATGCAAATAAACCTTTCAAGAAGGGCCTCCTTGTTTTGGTAAATCATGACTCACTAATAGGAAGAACTAAAACAGAAATGTGTTCACTGGAACTAATAAAACTGTTCGTGCTAGTTCTAAATACTGAAATTACCTGGTATTTGTATGCTTTACAGTAAGAAGTACTCAAATGTTTCTCAAAAACATTTTTTCAAGTCCACACTCATTGTTCTCTATGGGAAATAGTAACTTAAGTTTTAATCTGACATATGTGTTCCTGATTGTAGAGCAGTGTGTTCATTTCCATGACAGAATTATAAACTGTTTCTGTATGTCTATTAAATATAAATTAATACAATTTTTCCCTTTTAAATAGCTTTGATCAATTGAATGTAAATACTGTTTTGGCCTTTTAGAAAGGCCTTGGTGGAAATAAGAATCATATCATAGGAGAAACCTGTTAGACAGTCCCTTACAAAGACTATATTTTATAGGGGATCCATCTATTACCACAGCATAACGTATCTATATAAAGGTGGATGAAGATGGAATGTACAGGTGAAACTCGAAAAATTAGAATATTGTGCAAAAGTTCATTTATTTCAGTAATGCAACTTAAAAGGTGAAACTAATATATGAGATAGAGTCATTACATGCAAAGCAAGATAGTTCAAGCCGTGATTTGTCATAATTGTGATGATTATAGCTTACAGTTCATGAAAACCCCAAATTCACTATCTGAGAAAATTAGAATATTACATGCAATCAATAAAACAAGGTTTGTACATGGAACAGTATCGGACCTCTGAAAAGTATAAGCATGCATATGTACTCAGTACTTGGTTTGGGCCCCTTCTGCAGCAATTACTGCCTCAATGCGGCGTGGCATGGAAGCTATCAGCCTGTGGCACTGCTGAGGCATTATGGAAGACCAGAATGCTTCAATAGCAGCCTTCAGCTCTTCTGCATTGTTGGGTCTCATGTCTCTCATCTTTCTCTTGGCAATGCCCCATAGATTCTCTATGGAGTTCAGGTCAGGCGAGTTTGCTGGCCAATCAAGCACAGTAATCCCTCAGTCATTGAACCAGGTTTTGGTGCTGTTGGCAGTGTGCGCAGGTGCCAAGTCCTGCTGGAAAATGAAATCCGCATCCCCAAAAAGCTCATCTGCGGAAGGAAGCATGAAGTGCTCCAAAATCTCTTGGTAGATGGCTGCATTGACTCTGGACTTAATGAAGCACAGTGGACCAACACCAGCAGATGACATGGCTCCCCAAATCAACACAGACTGTGGAAACTTCACACTGGACTTCAATCATCTTGCAGTGTGTGCCTCTCCATTCTTCCTCCAGACTCTGGGTCCTTGGTTTCCAAATGAGATGCAAAAGTTGCTCTCATCAGAAAAGAGGACTTTGGACTACTGAGCAACAGAACAGTTCTGTTTTTCTTTAGCCCAGGTAAGACGCTTCTGATGTTATTTGTTCAGGAGCTGCTTGACAAGAGGAATACGCCATTTGAAGCCCATGTCCAGGATCTGTCTGTGTGTGGTGGCTCTTGATGCACTAACTCCAGCCTCAGTCCACTCCTTGTGAAAGTCCCCAACACTTTTGAATGGCCTTTTCTTGACAATCCTCTCCAGGCTGCGGTCATCCCTGCTGCTTGTGCACCTTTTTCTTCCACACTTTTCCCTTCCACATAACTTTCTATTAATGTGCTTTGATACAGCACTTTGGGAACATCCAGCTTATTTTGCAATTACTTTTTTGAGGCTTTCGCTCCTTATGGAGGGAGGGTGTCAATGATGGTTTTCTGCACAACTGTCAGGTCAGCAGTCTTTCCCATGATTGTGATTTTTATTGAACCAGACTGAGAGACCATTTGAAGGCTCAGGAACCCTTTGCAGGTTTTATGCCTTAATTAGCTGATTAGAGTGGGACACTTTGAGCCTAGAATATTGAACCTTTTCACAATATTCTAATTTTCTGAGATTGTGGATTTCGGGTTTTCATGAGCTGTAAGCCATAATCATCTCAATTATGACACATCACGGCTTGAACTATCTTGCTTTGTATGTAATGAGTCTATCTCATATATTAGGTTCACCTTTTAAGTTGCATTACTGAAATAAATGAACTTTTGCACGACATTCTAATTTTTTGAGTTTCACCTGTATGCAATAGGCAGTTCATTCATTAGGAACCTAGATGAATTGTGATAAGCATTTTTTAAAATTGTGGTTAGCATACCTGATATCTTAGTTATGAGT